AGAGTAGAACTGTGCTCTGTGAGGTCTTCAGTGGCTGCTTTTTTGGAAGTATTTCACCAGACCTTTTCCCAAGGTGCATCTGGGTGGATGCGAACCTCCAACCTTTCAGTTAGCAGCCAAGGGCATTAACTGTTTACACCACCCAAGGACTCCAAAGCTGGAAGGACCCCCATAAGACGCTCTGGAGGTGGAAGGTCAACTTTGCCTCCAATAGGTGGAAACTGCAGCAAGGGTAGTTAGAAAGGATGGGGCCCACATTCCCCAGACCCTGGGACCCAAAAGGAATGAGGCTGAGCTTAAAAGCAAAGTGACTAGAACTCCTCACGATATTTACTGCTGATGAACTCATCTTGCTCAAGACCCCAGGACCAGTTGGAGAAGTGTCTGTGAGCCTGAAACAAACAAATGGGTGAGTGGTTGAACCAAGCTGCCAAATCATATTAGGTGCAGATCATAATGACAATAATGCCAACAATAATAATATCTATGTGCCAGATTCTGAACTAAGTACTTAATATACATTCTCTCATTTGATCCTCATAATGACGGTGCCATAAGGTTATCATTTTCACTAGCCAGACTTTACAGATGATGAAGTTGAGGTTCACAGAGGTCAAGCAACTTGCCCAAAATCATTCAGCAACGAAGAGGCAAAGCTGGGATTAGAACCCAGGCAGTGGGACTGCAGATCTCAAGCCCTTGACTGCTCTTAGTGAGTGCCAACACCCTGAGTCTCTTCAACAAGAAGGGGGCAGAGACAGCCTGGATGTGAATTTGTTAATTGAGCCATAAGTATTTATTGAGCACCTACTGTGTGGTAGCACTCAGTATGCCTAGCCACAGGGATGTGGAGGTTAATAAGCACCAGCCTCTGTTGTTGAGAAGCTTGTGGTCTAGGGAGGCTGGTTTTCAAACCAGTATAATCAAACTGAAGGCCCCAGGCTTTTTCTGGGAAGACACACCTGTCAAGAGGGCCCCTCTATGGGGAAGGGTGGTGGTTCCAAGAGCAAAGCACTGATGGGGTATGGAGTGGGCGGGGCGGGGGGGGCTGGACTTTTCTCTGCCATTATCATATGGCCTCGCCCCCACTCCTAGGCCAGGAGTCTCCAGAAGCTTCTTTCTGGCAGAAACTTCTGGGCACAGAGCAGCATGTGTTTTCTTGAACCCTGATGGAGATGGGCGAAGACAAAACCCTGCCATTGTATGTGTTGTAAGAGGTGGTATTAGATGCTACTTTGGAGCAGCCTGTTTGAGTGTTCTGAGAAAACCACCTGAATTTAAAGTAGAGGCCAGAACTGGAGAAGGAGATATTTGGGACTCAGTGAGTGGCTAAAGGAGCTAAAAATTGTGATAATGGAAGAGTTGCCTGTGCTCCAGACAGTGTTGCTCCTTTGCAGGGAGGGGAGAAGGGTTCTTAACTCAGGATCCCCAGGGAATCCCCCAATGGGATTTAGGAGATTTAGGAGATCCACAAAATCCCTAAATTTGTGGCAAAATGTTGTGTATTTGTGCTTTTTTTGTGAGGAGGGGGAAGTCCAGAGCTTTCATCAGACTTTCAAAGGTTCCTTGAAGCCCCTGCCCCAAGAAGGCTAAGGATCACTACTCTAGAGAAATTTATTTTCCAAGTGTGAATTTAAGCTGTGCCTGCCAGCTATTGCATGTTCTTGGGGTGGCGTGTGCGTTCTTGTCTTGCTGCTGCCATCCAGTTATCAGGAGCTGAGATCAAAAGACAGACAAAAGGACAAAGTGGGCATGTGGATGGCTCTTTCCCAGACACGGTAAAAAAGGAACTGGACCAACCTGGGCAGTTTAACATGGACTAACTGTTCACTGCTACACGTAGTGTATTTCAATCCAGACAGCCTAGAATTTGGGAACTGTTTTCACACTAGAAGAAACCCTGGTGACACCATGGTTAAAGCTCTGGGCTGCTAACCGAAAAATTAGCAGTTCGAACCCACCAGCCGCTCCACGGGAGAAAGATGTGGCACTCTGCTTCCGTAAAGATTTACAGCCTTGGAAACCGTATGGGGCAATTGTACTCTGTCCTATAGCGTTGCTATAAGTCAGTATCGACTAGACGGCAATGGGTTTTGTTTGTTTTTTTCATGCTCAGGGATTGGGTTTTGATATTATCATTCAGTCAGGGCCTTAAGCAACATCACACTCCTATGGGTAGGGCATGGGGTTTGCTCTGAAAGGAATAGATATTCCCACTGTCAGTCATACAAGGAAGAAGCAATTCCTGGCACAGAAAGTGAGGAGGGAGGAGAGATGGCTTAGATAAAGATGAAGGAAAATCCCCTCCTCTCTCTGGACCTCACTTGGTTGGGCTTGACCCTCTAAGGCATTAATATCTGCCAGAGGGCAAGAGGTGAAGAGAAGCTGGCCCCTGCCACATTCATTCACTCATTCATTTCTTCACTCATATCCTCACTCACTTTCTCATTCACATCTTAATTTATTCACTGTTCATCTGATTCATTCATTCCACGTGCATGAAACGCTTGCAGAGCGCTGAGTGGATAGGGACATGCTTCAGACCCAGGTCTTGCCCCTGAGGCCTGCCAGATTGGGGCTGGGGAGGAGCCACGGACACAAATAATCACACAGCAGAGTAAAAAGTAGGAAATGTCATGAGAAATGCACAAACACCTCACCCAAGGGAACACAGAGGGAGAGATGTCTTCCAGCTGAGGGAAGAAGAGATCAAGAAGGCTTCCTGGAGGAAGTATAATCAGAGACAGCTCCAGAATTTCTGTATGGGGTGTGGGTGAGAATAGCAGCTTGTAGGGGAAGCTCCAAGTTGCATCATGACAGGGCCCTTAAGACTGAAAAGCAGTCGGCTGCGTATGTCAAAGAATGGGGTTGTGATGAAGATTGGGGTGGGGGCTGAATCGCCCCCAAGTCTCCTCTTGCTTCTACCATTAAAGAAATGGCATTTGATATTAAATGACTCCACTTATTTGAAATAGCTAGAATAGGCAAGTGTAGATAGCTCTAAGATTATCGGTGGTTACTAGGACAAGCGGAAGAGAGGTGGAGAGGGGGACTCATTGCTTAGGAGACACTGAGCTTCCTTCTGTTAAGGGTGTTGGGAAATTTGGAAGTTGATAATGGGAATAGTTGCACAACATGATGAACACAATTAGTGAACACATTAAATTGTACATGTGACAGATGTTGAAATGGCAAACATTTTGTTACATACATATTTGTTGTTGTTGTCGTTGTTAGGTGTCATCAAATCAATTCCAACTCATAGCAACCCCATGTGACCGAGTAGAACTGCCCCAGCGGGTTTCTTAGGCTGTAATCTATATAGGAACAGATCACCAGCTTTTTCTCCTGCAGAGCCAATGGGTGGGTTCTCATTGACAACCTTTCCATTAGAGCCAAGCGCTTAACTGTTGCACCACAAGGGCTTTTTACATACATACCCATTACCCATTGCCTTAGAGTCAATTTTGACTCATGGCGACCTATAGGACAGAGTAGAACTGCCCCATTGGGCTTCCAAGGCTATATATCTTTATGGAAGCAGATTGCCACATTTTTCTTCTGCAGAGTGGCTGGTGGGTTCGAACCACCAACCTTTCAGTTAGCAGCCGAGCTTAACCACTGCACCACCAGGGCTCTTCCTTGATAAATGGGAAAAGGATGAGCACCCCGTAGGAGCAAAGCCTAGAGGTGGGAAAGTTCAAGGCCAGGACAGGGAGCAGGGAGTTGTTAGGCATTGGTGGAACAGGTAGAAGGAAGTAGTGGGCGGTGAGTTTGGAAAATTGAGCTTTGAATGCAAGGCTAAGATGTTTGGGCTTCATTCTGCAGATAGTGGGGAGTCATTAGAGGTTTTTGAGCCAGGGAGTGACATGGCCAATGCTGTTTTTAGGGATATTTCTGAGGCAGTATGGAGTATGAAGAGGAGGGGGCGAGACCACAGATCAGTCAGGAGGCTATTCCCAGCCCTCTCCTAACTTTGGGGGGCCAGGACAAGAGTACAAATGGAGCTTCACATACCACATGGACAAAATATTTAAAAGTTACAAATCAAATCAACCAACTTAAATATGTCCTACACTCCTGCCTTGACAAATAGACCTCATAACACCCTGGACAGCCAGGTTCAAATGTGGCATTCTCTGGAACATGGAGGCACCAGGAGAGCCGCCCTGGTGCCCCTACAGCCAATCTGGCCCCCTTCTCTTCCCACTACAGCTCTTTCCCTCACCATGAGGGCACACACAGGCACCCAACCCACATGTCCAAGCTCCATTCACACGTCCAGCAAACAGATACCCCTGGTCAAAGGAGCACGCCCTGGCTGGGGACCCTGGGAGGGAGGACTGAGCAAACCCTGGAAGTGGGCTTGAGAGACAGGAAATCCTGGAAGCCAGGTGCTCAATGTGTAGCCTGAAAGGAGAGGTTGCAGGCTTCAGGTGGGCACATCCCTTTGACTCCCCGACCTCCTCACTCGTGGGGAGGGGTGCAGCTAGAGGAGGGCCTGAAGCCCAGGACCAGACACAGCCCCTCCTGCCCTCAACTAGGGGAGAGAAAATGAGGTCTTGCACCAGGGCGGGAGCAGCCCCTGTGAAGGAGTGGACAGAAAGGGCACATAACAGAATGGACAGGACTTGGAGATGGATTGGATATTGCTGGCAATCTGAGCACTGTGAGTGCCCTCTGAGCCTGAGCCTGGCCTCCCTGACACCTTGGCAGGTGGGCAGGTAGGGTGGGGGCAGCCATCACCTGTAGCCCTCATGAAGACCCACCCCCCTGACTGGGCTGCTCAGCTCTCCTCTGCCCTCCTCCTGCCTGCTCTTCCCAAACCCAGCTGGCAGCCTCCAACTGGGCCGTGTGCAGGGCATCTGGCCCCAGGGAAGGGTGAGGTGGGCCGCAGTCTACACCTACACGGCTATAAATAGGGAGCCTGTGGGCAGCCGCTCACTTAACCTGCCTTGCCCTGCCAAGACAGCATCTGAACTTCTAGGACTGCCTGGAACATGGACCCTGGGGAATGCACCTGCATGTCTGGTGAGTTGAGGAGGCCCACCCTGGGGCTCCTAGAGGAAGCCCTCAGCGCTCAGGCAGCTCTGAGCTGCTAGTGGGGCTTGCAACCTCCAGGGCAGCTTCCGTTCTCGGTCGGAGCCAGCCTGACGTGCTGGAATTGGTAGCTTGGCTCAGGGAATGGTTTAGCAGGGGCCTTGTAAGCTTTGGTCCTTCCAGCCAGGGATGGATTACCCAGTAAGAAGGTAAGCACGTGCTTAGGGCATCAACAAAACAGAGGCACCGGTTGTCCAAAGCAAAGACCCATAGATGCCAAGCAGACAGGACCCAAAAAGGGGGCACTGCAGTGGAAGGGAACTGGCCTAGCACTAAATGAAACTGATACCAGCTCCAGTGCAGGAGAATGTGCCGGCCGGAAATAAAGTTCATGCAGGGTCACGACAGTGCCCACAAGCAAGGTTGTTTAAGCTATGAGGCCCCACCACTTCAACACCTTCATTGACATCTGTCTCCTATGGTCCCCTCCAGTGTAACTGAAACTCCTTATCTCAGCAGGTCTCTTGGGAGTATACTATTTCTTTTTGATAAACAAGAGATGGGGGTGGGCTGTCGAGTCTAACTCTTGCTACAGTCACCCAATACATAATTGGATCCAACATGAGCACTTACTGGGCACAGATAGATTATATTAATAGATAACAGGTCTCTGATCCATTTTGAGAGAACCAAAATACATTTCTGTTTTGCACCAGTGAGTGTGTTTCTAAAGTCGTCTTCCAAGAAAGCAACAAAGGTGTTTATCAGAACATTACATTTATATTTTATCAGAATATTTACGTGCATATGTATATATAACTCACATATCAGAATATTTACATGTATATATGTATATATATAACTCAAGTATCAGAATATTTACGTGTATATGTATATATAACTCATGTACCCGGTCCGAATACATGAGTAAGCAGAGAAGGGGGCACCACTGATTATCGGTGCTTAGGGCCCTGACATGCCTTAATCCAGCCCTGCTTCCAGCCACAGGTATCCAAGATGCCCGGTGGCAGGGGCAGCCACCAGTGCAGGAGAAGAGCTCTAGCTCAGAGCCTGGCAACCTGGTTTTGGTCCCAGCACTTCCACTCACTTCGTGGCCTCAGTTTCCTCATCTGTAAACTGGGCTTATGCATCCCCCAGCCTCCCCACCTCCCAGGGTTGCTGTAAAAGTACTAAAATCATACAGCATGCACACGTCAGAGGAGTTGTTAGAAGCCTGTGTGGACTCCCGAGTCTCTAAAACTGCTTAATTCCTTGGAACCATGTGGGCCAAGAGGAGAGAAGTCGTGTTCAAAGCCATCCTGGGCTTTTGCGACCTTAGCAATTGGTATCAAGATGTCTCACCAGCCTACCTGGTCCCTAACAGGACTGGTCTTTACCAACACTTGCAAAAGAGGCAGAAGCTTCCAGCATTTGGAAACTCAGAATGACAGGTGGGATGATGAAAAAGCATAGATGGTTGTTATGATATGAAAATAAGGTGCAGCTCCCCCTTTGGGCTTGCTGTGTTCCTTGCCCTTGCTCCTACCCATTCAGGGATTCCATCTTGCCTGATGCCTTGTAAAGATGGAGAGAATAAAACAAGCTTCACTGTTCCCAGGGAAACCTTGGACTTGGTAGAGCTGGTTGCAGTAGTTCTCAAACCCGACTGCGCATCAGAACCATCTGGGGACCTTTTTAAAAATACAAGTTCCTTTTCTCCACCCAGATGTGAATCAGAGTATCTCAAGGGTCGAGCTCAGGAATCTGCCCTTTAACAAGTCTCCCAGGAGGGGCTGAAATAGCCTCCCAGTTCCCATCCATGCCATGTGACTGGGAACCATTGGACAGCCCTCAGCGCAGGGGTGATGTTCAGCAGTATCTTCATCCTCTTGTCCAGCCCCTCCCCAAGAGCAGCCCAGTCACCCTGCCACGGTGACAAGTCTGCAGCCTGACGTGTGTCTCCCTCACCTCTGTCCTCACGTATGTGGCTCTATCCTGTCTCCTAGGAGGAGTCTGCACCTGTGGGGACAACTGCAAATGCACAACTTGTAACTGTAAGACATGTCAGAAAAGTGAGTATGGCGACATCAGGCAGGAGCTGGAAAGGTCCTTTCCCCTAGCCTCAAGTCGCCAACCATGGTGGGGCTGAGGGCTTTCTGGATGTCTGTTATCCATTTGGAAACCCTGGTGGCGTAGCGGTTAAGAGTTTGGCTGCTACCCAAAAGGTCGGCAGTTCGAATGCACCAGGCGCTCCTTGGAAACCCTATGGGGCAGTTCTGCTCTGTCCTATAGGGTCACTATGAGTCAGAATCAACTCCATGGCAGCGGTTTATTTATTTATTTTTTAATTATTCATTTGAAAGTCCCTGGGCGGCACTAATGGTTTATGCTTAACTACCAGCCTATGGTTGGTGTCTGAATCCACCCAGTGGCACGTCAGAAGAAAGGCCTGGTGATCTGCTTCTGAAAAAAGTACAGCCAAGAAAACCCTATGGATCAGTTCTACTCTGTAACACATGGGGTTGTCATGAGTCAGAATCGACTCGGCGGCAGTGGGTTTGGGTTTGGTTTTTATTACCCATTTGGGAGGGATCTGAAATGGGAGCAGAGTAGAGAGCTGGAACAGGGCTCCCCAGGGCTGCAGCTCCCCAGAGATGAGGGCCTACATAGGGTTTGGTATGGGAAGAGAACGGAGGGGAGGTTCTCAGTGGTGAAAGGGATAGAGCCCTGGCCTGGAGTCACGAGCACTGAGTTTTAGTCTTGGATCTGCCACTGCCCACTGACTTTGGGCAAGTCTTTTCTCCTGTGAATGGACCATGGATGACCCTGAAATCCCTTCCAGCTCCCACAACTTCCTGTCCCAGATTTTCTTATGCTAGTATGGATTGAAGTCACATGGGTACACCTTCTTTTCCCACTTCCCCAAAGTGATGGGAAGGGCGGGAGTAAGATGGGAGTGTTGACTCAAAGCTGATCTACCTCCTGACCCTTTCAGGGTGCTGTTCCTGCTGCCCCCCAGGCTGTGCCAAGTGTGCCCGGGGCTGTGTCTGCAAAGAGGGCTCAGACAAGTGCAGCTGCTGCTCCTGAAAGACATCCATCATGCTGGGGGAAAGGCCTAGGAAGCGTCTGTACCGTGCATGAGTTGAGAAGTTGAAATGATTGTACAATAGGTTGTGCTTTTTATATATTTGCCCAAATGTGGTGTTAGTGACATTCATGTAAAGTGCTTGGAGCAATAAAGTTTCCACTTGTGGTTGTCTGGTGGCTCAAAGCATTGTTTTACGCTAACCGAGGTGGCACAAACAGTTTGTGCTCGACTACAAACGTAAAGATTGGTGGTTCGAACCAACCCAGCGGCACCACAGAATAAAGGCCAGGCAATCTGCTTCTGTTAAGATAACGGCCAAGAAAACCCTATGGAGGAGTTCTCCTCTGTAACACATGGGTCACCATGAGTCGGAATCAACTCAACAGCAACGGGTTTGTTTTTTTAAGCAGGATACTGAGGTGCCTGCCTGCACCCCTTCTGCAGAGGGCTGCTTACTGCAGGACCCTGCAGCTCTGCCTGAAGGGTCTCCTGCTGCAAGAGCATGCTTGACCCATGCACAGGGGAGGCTGGGGCACCCGGGAGTTCACGGCCCTGGGAACAGCCCTTAACCAACGGCAGACGGGAGTCGGCGGGTAACCGCGCCAGCATCTTCAACCCTGCGGTGGGATGTCTCAGTTTCTCAGGGCTGCCGTAACAAAATACCGCAAGTGAGTGGCACTAAAGAACAAAAGTTTATTGTCTCACAGTTCTGAAGGCTAGAGGTCCAAATCAGGGTTTCAACCGCGTCGATTCCTTCTGCGGGCTCTGAGACAGGAACTGTTCCGTACCTCTCTTCTAGTTTCCGGTGGCCGCGAGCAATGCTTGGTGTTCCTCCGCTGATAGCAGATGTAGCTTCACGTACGTCTTTCCTGTGTGTGTGACTCTCTCTCTGTCTCTTCTCCCCTTTTATAAGACACCACTCAGAAGGGATTGCGACTAGTATCCACTCTACTCAGGTAGGACTTAACTGATAGCATCTGCAAAGAAAAGCCCTATTTCCCCAAACAACGTCATATTCACAGGTGCAAGGATTAAGACTCCAACATGTCTTTTGGGTAAGGGGGACACAATTCAATCCATAACCTGGAACAACTCTGAGACTTGTTCCACACTGTCTTCCAGAAGCCCTTAGCAGCACTGAACTCCAATAGCCTGCAGTGGTAACCTGCTCATTAAAGAACCCCATATCAGCTTCCTTCCTTCCTTGCCTCACTTTCCCATTCCCCTACCAGTGCTTCCTGTGATCCTCACCCAAAGAAATTACTTGCATAGGATCTGCTTTGGGGACAGCCCAATCTAAACCAGGCTCCCCTGGCATAGCCATTGGCCCAGAATGCCTCCTTGTGCAAATGTCACTGTTTAGTGAACCCAGGAATCCCTGGGTGGCACACATGGTTAAGCACTCAACTACTAACCAAAAAGTTGGTGGTTTGAACCCACCCAGAAGCACCACAGAAGAAAGGCCTGGCAATCTGCTTCCAAAATGTCACAGCCTTGAAGACCCCACAGAGCACAGTTCTACTCTACACACATGGGGTTGCCATGAGTTGGAATCGACTTGACAGCAACAGGAAAAAAGTGGACTTTAGCACTTAATCAGTCATGAACAGCCCTTAATTAGTGGCAGACAGAACCAGTGGGTAAACACCCCAGCATCTTCACCCCTCAGGTGAGATGTCTTAGTTTTCCAGAGCTGCCATAACAAAATACCACAAGACAGAAAGGTCTGTGCACGTCTCAAGAAAACCCCCATGCCAAGAAATTGAGAGCATTGGCTGTCCCTGGTTTGGTTTATTTGGGCCAACCCTCAGGACTGGGTGACTGGTCAGACGTAGACTTGGAGAAGCTGGCATTGTTCACGGAAGTTCTCGCATGTCATAGAAGTCAATCTAAAGAGAAACTGAGGTCTTTGTCATTTTCCCCAGATTGCTGACATATGTACCAGAACTTTCAGCTATGCCAGCACAATTCCAATTGTTTGATGATAATAATAGCCGCCATTCTGCTGCACTTATTACGCACCAGACACTCTGCTAAGCATTTTATAGACACATTCCCATGTCATTCGTGCATTAGCCCTGGGTGGGTTCTGTGGAGGAATCTTTGATTTTTAAAACATTAATTAATTTTAAATAGGTGCATGTACACAATGTACAAAACACAAAAGACACAAAGGGTATAAATCTCCTTCCCACCTAAATTCCCGAGTCCTCCCTCCCCAAAGGCGACCACCTGCGTAACCTTCAGGGATATTCCAAGCCCCAGGGATATTCATGTCTAGTCTTCCCTCCCCAAAGAGGACCACTTCAACCAGTCACTTGTGTAACCTTCAGGGATATTCCACGCCTGCCTGTACAAGCATGAATGACACACAGCGTTAACACACACAGGCACACATTAGTGAACTGTATAACCTGGGAACCTTGGTAATTGCTTTCCCTTATATATTAACCCCTGACAAGTCCTTCTTTCCACGTAAAAGGGAAGATAAAAGTAGAAGGAAAATTAAAAGGAGATTAAACAATACACAATAAGGTGACAAAACAAGAAAAATGGAAAAAACAAAATGGCTGAAGAAAACACGGAAGACAGAGGAAATTTTGCACTAACCTCTCGGCCGTGGGCGGTGGTTGTTGTTAGTTGCCATCAAGTCAATTCCAACTCACGGTGACCCCGCGTGTGCAGAGTAGGACTGCTCCATCGGGTTTTTAAGGCTGCGACCTGTTGGAAGCAGATCACCAGGCCTTTCTTTCAAGACACCTCTGGGTGGGTTCGAACTGTCAACCTTTGGGCTAGTAGTCAAGCGCTTCACCGTTGGAACTACCCGAGGACTCTGAGCCATGGCAGGGCTGCTGACCGTAACTGAGACGGCAGCTGAGTCTCTGGGCCTTTGTCCGGCCCTCTGTGCTTAACACTGTGCCCAGGGACCTGCCGAGCAGAGGGCCAGAAACACCTGTAAGAATTTGCTGATGCCAATGAACCGTCTGCTCCCTAAAAATGTACATACCAACACCCTTACAGAATTTTACACATGCTTTTAGGGAATCCACGGGCCCAGCTAAAGCCATCTCTGAATCCCCAGGAGAGCTTGGTTAAGAATCCATGGTCCACGGCATCTCTTACTGAAGGAATAAAGTAGTCTAATAACAGGTGAAAACATTGAGCACTTACTATCTGCCAGGCACTGGGCCAAACATTTTACATGTGTCATTTTCATTTGTCTCAATATGATCCCAGGAGGTCAGTACTATCATTAACCCCATTTTGCAGATGAGGAAACTGAGGCACACAGACGTTAAGTGACTTGTCCACGGCTACACAGCTAGTTTGCAGAATTGAGATTTGAACCCAGGCCTGACAGACTCCAAAGTCATGTGCTTGACAGCAAGTGGAGGTGTTGAAATAACTTCCTAGGCAGATGACACAGAAGTCCCTGAGGAGTGTGTCCCGGAGTGAGAGATGAGAGCTGCTCCTTTTCAGCCTGCCTCTCACCCTCACCGTCGCCCCCAACGGAGCTGAAGCCAAATCCAAGCCCCAGAATGCAGCAGGTTCATTCCCGGCATCCAGCTCCGGAATGCAGCGGGTTCATTCACGGTGCCCAGGGAGAGGCCTGAACCAAGGGCCTATCTGAGACCTGGAGCAGCCTTCTCCTCCAGGGCTAATGTCGAGGTGACCATCAGACACAGGAGTGAGTGGGAATGTTGTCTCCGCCCATCCCAGATCACAGGGCAGCTGCCGGGCTCCCTTGGGGCTGCGCTCCATCGGCCAAACAAGGAGCAGGATTCATGGTGTGGTCCTGGTACCGGGCACTTTCATAAGCCACACTGTCGTCATTATCCCCGTTTAGAAATCAGCTGGAGCTTCGCTGGGAAGGTCTGCACCTCCTTCCCCGAGTTGTGCTTTAGCTGTTGCATCACAGTGTAATGGAAAGGCTTGGCTTTTGGAGTCCAACACTTGCAACTCCACCCCTCACTGGCTGCGTGACCTTGACCAAATCACCTAACCTCTCTGAGCCTCAGTTTCCTCATCTGTGAAATGTGCCTTTCTCACATGGTTATAGAGGGAAATAGTAGGACAGTGTCTGTGCATGCAGTAGCTGCTTCATAAATAGTGATTTAGTAGGGCTACTAGCGCTGGTGGCACAGTGGTTAAGGGCTCAGCTGCTAATCAAAAGGTGGGCAGTTTGAATCCACCAGCCTCTCCTTGGAAACCTATGAGTTGGAATCGACTTGATAGCAGTGGGTTTTGATTTCTTAGTAGGGCTGTAGCCTATCTGAGGCTTCCGTTTACTGATCTCTGAGAAAGAACCACCAAGTTGCTCTCTGTAATTGCAGAGTTCTTGGGCACCTTGGGAAGGACGCCACGCTGGCAATTATATCTTCCAGGGCACAGAGCAGTTCTTCATGCGTCCAGCAAACAGGCTGGCCACTCTCCCGGCAACCTCAGGCCTCAGCGCCCACAGGGGTGCCATATCATCTCAACCAAACACCTTTAGCAAGGCTTCACCTGAACAATTTCATTTATTCTTATCACATCCTTAAAAGGGAGGATCAGCCCTCAGAGTCTCAATTCAGCAACAACAGCAATAACTAATATTTATTGAGAACATCATATGTGCTAAACACTTAATATGTGCTCAGCACTGAGCTAAGCAATATACAAACATTATCTCATGGACCCTGCACAATTGGGACCATTTTAGAGACAGATAGCCAGGGTCCTGCTCTGGGCCCTCTGCCTTAGAGGATCTGTCTCTGGTCTTCTTTCCCACAGACAAAGAGTCTGAGGGTCCAAGAGGATGTGCCTACCTGGAACTCAAACCCTTTTACCCCTCACCCCCATCTATATAGTGTTTTGTGTACCCAGGACCCCAGAGCCAACTGGAGGGTCTCTGTGGCCTCTTCCCCAGGTTGATCTTCCTGAGGGTGGACCATGCCACCAGTGTGTGCACTCCTGAGCCTAAGGATAGCTAAGGACAGCTGTATTCAGAGATGGGAGG